CGAAGGCACGCTCTGGGATTTTACTCAAAAAACTTTCTAAGTCCACAACCACAAACCCCCCGGTGATTCTACTCTACACCCGAAGGGTTCTGATCAGGTTTTACTTAGAAAGTTTTCTGAGTCCGTAGCTTTGGGTGGATGTGATCAAGTTTTTTACTTAGAAAAATTTCTAAGTCCACAACAACAAGCCCCCGGTAATTCTACACTACAGCCGAAGGCTTGTGAGGAGTCGCGCTCAGAAATTTTTCTAAGTCCACAAAGGAGAACATCATACATTCAAAATGCGAAGGATGGAAGAGAAGCAAAGACATACATTCATTCATACAATAAAATGAGACCCGAGGGCAAAACATTCATCACCGAAATATACAAGTGCAGAAGATGTTTTTTTACAAATACAGTGGACCGAGGCCGAAGACTACAAACTATTACAAAATTATGCTTAAGGGAATTTCAGGCTGGGGCATTCTCGGCTCCATCCTCCTTCAGCTTCGAAGCAGCGTCCTCCCCGATTTCCTCTTCATCATCATCAGCCTCCTTCATCAGCTCCGAGTCCTCGAGATCAGGCCTGTCGACGCCGGGAGGGAGGGGAACACGTGTATCCGGCTGGAGGGGAGGCAACCCGTAAGCTGCGGGGTTGAAGTCCTTGGGGTCCACCCCGTAGTGCCTGGCGAGCCTCCGGTAGACGAGCCATTGGGTAAAGAACTCGCCACCGTCGTAGTATTCCTTTCCCTTCCGGGCCAGCCACATTGCACCAGGCCCCCTAACCCACGCATCGACCGAGGCCTCCACGACGGATTCCACCCACGGCTTCCGCTCCTCGGCTTCCCATCCCTCGGCGATGAAGGCAGACACTGCATTTCTCTCAGCTTGAAGCACCGCCTCCTTCCTTGCCTCTTCAGCTCTGATGGCGGCGGCCTTGGCAGCCTCGGCGGCGGCTCCCTCGGCACTGGCCTTGCCTTTGGCCTCGGCGTCCCTCAGCCTTTGCTCCACGGCCTCCTTCTCCAGCCGAAGGGCTTCCTCGGCATCAGCGAGCCGCCTTCTGAGAGCGGAGATCTCCTCATCAGATTTCTTCAGGGCCTCGTCTGCTTGGCCCTTTGCTATCCTGAGCTGCTCCACCCTCCGAGCCTGCTCGGAGGCAGCCAAGGCAGCCTGCGAAAATAATAATAATAAACTTATCTTCGGCGTACTTTGAAGAGTTTCGAACACAGAACAAAGGAGGGAAGAAGGCTCACCATCGTAGTGTAGCTGGCGACTTTGTAATCAAGGATATCATCCTCAAAGCGGGCCAGCACAGACTTGTCCTTCGAGGACATCACTCCTCTCATGAACCCGACGGGGTGCAAAGTGCCATGCAAGACAGAGGTCCCCGACTTGATGGGAAACTGGACAATCTCCGCCGGCCGGATCTCCTCATCAATAGGAGAGGGGGGAGAGCGAGGAGGCGTAGTGACCGGGGGATGGTCCTCAATTACTAGGATGGGGGCCTCCTTTCTCCCCTCACCGCCCTTCTTCTTCTTTTTTTCCGGGGGCATGACGCCCTTCCCGGTGTTCTTTCGCTTCAACTCCTCAGTCTTGGAGCCCCCAGCCTCCACATGGGCATCGGTGTCGCCCTTTGAAGAGCCCTCGTCCTTGTCCTTAGAAGCCCCCGGCTTCTGGAAGAATTCGTCAACGGCCTTTTGAGAAGAGGGCCCCCCTTTCTTTTTGGCCTCCTTCGCCATTTGTTTCTTGAGTAAGGCAAGCGACTTGGCATCCATTTCCGGACCTGTAAAAAAAAAAAAAGAAGAAGAAATATAAGCATGCAGGTGTCAGGTTAACGAATACAAAGCAAAGAAACGCCCAAAGTACAAAGCAAGGAGCCTCCGGCAAACACCTCCAACGCTTTGGTAAACTCGGTCAATCACGGGGAGTGTCTCATCTTTATCCCCCGGCAGACGGTACCGACGGAATCCCAGCTTGTACATCTCGTCCGGAAGGGTGGCCGCCTTAATGGACATCAGCTTATCGGACCCCTCCGGCTTTGCCGCCAGCTTTTTCCCGTTTTTATCAAGGGCGGCATTCTGGACCCTCAAATGCCTTCGAAAGTGATGGCGGAGAGGCTCCGGGAAAGGATTAACGGCCATACGAAGATAGCAAAACTTCTCTTTCCAACCCTTATGTGACGAGGGCACCTCAGAAAAAATCCTCCATTCAGGCACCTGCTGGAGGTTGGCGAATCCCTCGCTGTTAGCGTGACCCCCTCGGCACAGGTTGAAGCTCAGAAAGAATTGGTCCAACGTCGGCTTCACCTCCCGGCTTCGGCACTGCGACAGGAACCCACTAATGTATGAGTGGCTATTGGGGGTAAGCTGGCAGGGGGTCAATCCCACGAACTTAAGATACTCCAACAGAAAGGGGTGGAGCGGGAATCGGAGGCCCAAATCCACAGAAAGTATATGCACTGAGAAGCACCCTTCTGGAGGATTCAGCAGCAAATCATTTGGCCCCGGTTCAATTACTTGCGCGAAGGGTCCTACAAGGAACTGAGTGGCCTGATAGTCGGAGGCTGTGGCCTTTGTCTTCAGCGCAAGGGCCGCTGTGTTCAGGTACGAGTGGCCCTCGGGTATTCCCACCGGCTGACCCGCGTCAATGGCAGCCTGTTTTTTCTTTGGGGCCGCCTGGATCTTCTTCTTCTTTTTCCCGGGGGCGATGCTTATCGGTTCCGGATCTAGGGGCCGGGAGCTACTCGCTTCGCCGGCGCCGCGGAGCGGGAGTGCGGCGACAGTCACCTTCAGCCGCTCTTTCTCCTCCTCTTCCTCGGCTACTTGGAGCGCGAGGGCTAGCTCCTCATCCTCTGCCACTTGCTCAAAGTCTTCGGCTTCCAGCTCGGCTCTAAGATGATTTTGCACCTCCTCGGCTACTGCGGCGTCATTATTTACCGAGAGCTGCTCACTCGAGGAATTGGCGTCCGAGTAGCTCTCGGATTGCACCGAGGGCTCCCGCGATATGTTCTGAGACTCATCCTCCGACGACATCGTGCAGTATTGGCAGGTAGTAGGATATGGGAGGTCCCTAAGGTTCTAAGGCCACTAACACTAAATCAAGAGACGAAAAAGCAAAGTATGCTAGAAAAGTGAAGAACAGGGAAGAACTGACCTCAAGGAATCGAATTCAATCGAAGGAATTGCTTTCTCTCTCTAGAAAAATGGGCAGAGCTTCGCTATAGCTAAGGACGCACAGTACAAATGACTTGGGGCTCGGGGTATTTATAGGCTTTCAGCCTCGAGAACTGGGCCTCGATTTGAAAAGGCCATCATTGCGGGCCGCCGCCTCACCCAATGGGTGGCACCCGCCCACTTTCGACCAACAGGAGCGCGCCACGTGTGCTCCCCTTCCAACGGCTCTATTATAACGGCCATATTCCCGGAATTCCGACATGCTCCCGGATAATAGCCTCCGGTTATAACCTACTGCGGCCTTCGGTGGTGCGTTCACCTAGCGCCTTCGAGAAAGCAACAGTATGAGCCCTCGGGGTTACACACACATCATAACTCCTTCAGTCCGAACTCGCCTTCGGCCTAAAGGAGTGGGGGACTGGGACACACCCCTCGGGAATCACACATGACCAAAAACAAAAAATTCCCACATACAAGAAACCTACAAATAACACATGTAGCCCTCGGGTGCGTACACCATTACACCCTTCGGCAAAGCAAAATGTCAGAAATTTTCCACAGAGTCACTGACAATAATGAAACAGCCTTCATCATAACACACACGGATATTATTTACGCCTCCCTCAGAAAACCCCGACATGTGAGGGACTGAGGAGAGGCTCCGGCATCCATACAAGTATTATACTTCCTTCAGAAAACCCTCGGCATGTGAGGGACTGAGGGAAGCCTTCGGCTATCAACAGAAGGCAAATTCTCAAACAAAGGCACCCAAACAGACGATGAAGCCTCCGGAAGAATCTACACTTCTACTCCTTTTCCCCTCAAGTACCTTTCGGCAAAAGGAGTGAGGGACTCCTGATGGAGTATATGGCCCAGGAACCCCCGGCCCATAGACTCCTACTTCTCCTACACAAGTTCATCAGGCCCAGGGAACAACTCAGGCCCAAAATGCAGCGGCCCAAGCCTCAACGTGGCCCAGAATACGCACTGGGGTGCCTTCGGCCTCCTTGTCCGAAGGCTCCAAACCTCACAGGGTAGCCTTCTCTGGCATAAGAGGCTACTGGGAGAAGACGGCGAAAAACATGAGCCTTCGGCATTGTCATGCCCTCGGCGTCAGAGAAGCCCCCGGCTAAGCCATGCCTCCGGTCACACAGGGCCTTCGGCTACACAAGGATCCTTGGCTACATGGAGCCCTCGACAACACAAGGAGCCCTCGGCCAAGCACGCTCAATCATCGAAGATTCCTTTTAGGGACAGCCAACCACCGCATTAAATGCCACGTCACATCCGCCAACCGCATTCAATGCGGTTGGCGTACCACTGCCGGTGCCACCAGGCTGATGTGACCCTTCGGCCGTTGGATTACTGACACGTGTCCCCTCATCGCATTTATTGCTGCTATAAATAGCAGCCCATTTCTCCTTGTAACACATCATCTACATCCCAACTCCACATCTCGAGTTCATTTAATAAAATCGACTCTCTCTCCTCCTATTTACTCTGACTTCTCTCTAAGTTGTTCCCGCAATAACCCCCTGGATAAGATACCCCCGGGTAGACTATCCATCATTTATATATATATATATATATATATATATATATATATATATATATATATATATATATATATAAGGACCCTCTCACTCAAATTAAAGACCATTTCCTTGTATTCGATAACATTCTTCATTATTTTTCTAATGGACTTAAATGCACCTTAACAACTAAAACTATGTGCGATGGTTAAGTAAGTTTGGGTTGAAATAGGCCCAAGAAAAAAAAAACTAATGAGTAATGAACCATAATCATTGGTAATTAAGCATGCTCTTATGCAAACTCTGGACTTACAGATGGGGAGTTTATGAAGGAAGAAGCAAGAGGCAATGACCAAGTAGGACACACAAAGAATCAGTCCTTTCATGTAGTGTGAGGTTCCATCCTGCACATGCATTTAATTATGAGTACTATATTTTAAGTGCAACCATTTTGAAATAATGATGTCATATTTCGTCATTGTCAGACATAGAATGGCAATATTATTAGGCTAACCGCAACCCTGCTCCGTCAATAAATCAAATTTCTCATCTCTTTATACGTATTCATTCAGTCAACTCATTTTTCTCTGCAATCCAACACCGTCAATATATTCACCCAACACAATTTCTTTCTAATTAAATGTATAAATCCTTACTTTTATTATTACTCATCAATTATTTGACATTTTTTATACCAATAATTATGATTTAAAAAGTCTTATCATTTCACTGCAAAAAAAAACATAGGTATTAAAATTTGAACACCTAAGCTTAATACGAAGTATCAAAAAATTGCAAATTGCCAATGAAAATATCAACTACGTATCCAAAACGATGCGTATTGCGTTTAATTGAATACCTGGAGTGCTGGCAATTGCCAAATTCTTTGGCAAAAGAATTACGGAGTAAAATATATGGACACCTAGCTTAATTTCAAAATAAATTGCAATGCTGGAGTGCTATGGACCGCGGAAGTAGTTGCCAGGACTGATGCGTGGCTGACACCTGGGACCCTTCTCTCCGTCAATATGCTTACAAATACCGCCCGCTAGGGGTGCCATCCACCTACTTGGCACCCCAAAATGCATGGGTTGGAGTAATTATTTGGATGAATAGGCTAAAATTAGGTTATTCACCTATGGGTTGCAAGCAGCCTTAGTATCATAATTAGCCGTATTTCTAAACATTGGACGGGGTAGTTCGTATTTATGGTAAAAAGCATAATATTCATAGTTTGGAGTTTTACTAATAATGTCATGTTTTGTCATTACCATATACTTAAAATGACGATATTAATGTCGTAATTACAAGTATTTTCGAGAAATGTTGCAGTAATTAAATCTATTTACGAGAAACACATAACAATCCTATTTTGAAATTTCACGGTTAAAACGAAGCTAGTTAGAGATGAACCTGTAAAGTGATTGCCGTTAGAAGAATGGAGAAAACAAGAGATCCGGTCTCGAGAAGACTGAAATCCAGGTCCATTTTCACCTTCATTATCCACCCCACGACTACACACGATGGCACCTGGGAACCAGACCCCATCATTTCATCTCATCGTCAAGAAATGTTAAAAAAAAAACAGAGAGATAAATTTAAAAAGATGTGAAATGATTTTTCCGAAGTCCATACCACGAACATCAAAATTTGAGAAGCAGATCCGAGGGCAACCCCCAAAGAGATATCCTGAAATGAATAAAGAACCAAACTCTGGTATTAAATTCGAATCGGCTTAACTTATCCCAAAATGATCATGCAGAGTTGTGTGTTTACTTCATGTTTATAGATGACACAAATATTAATAACATCAAAAGTACAAGTATTTGCAAACATGGCCTTCAAAATTATTTGACTCTTACATAAATGCGTAGGTAGTTTTATTATCAAGAATAAGGGTCTGTTGAAAAAGTTATATTGGTGAGATATTGGCATACCAACTTATTCTTGAAAGCAAAGATGATGGAGCCAGCATGTTCTGCTGCATTTCCAACTATAGGTAGCAAAATTAAGCTGATAAAACTCACTGATAGTCCCCACGTATCTGAGGCATCCTGATATAGCACATACAATCTTTCTGTTAATTAATTAATTAATTACTAAGGGTTTTTCTAAAGTATGCCCATTGGCAGAAGATCAATAGCAATTTTTGTGCTTGATTTAAAAGATCAATTATCATTGTTGAGCAATGTCGTGCCGGTTAAGGTGTACCATGAGGTCATGGGTTCAAGTATCGGAAATGGCCTCGGCTTGCCCCTTATATACCCTGTGATTAGGGGTGCAAACGAGCCGAGCCGAGCCCGAACATGGGTATGCTTGAGCTTGAGCTTGATAAGAATTCACGAGTTCGAGCTCGATCTCGAGCTTGGACGAGTTAAATAATTCGAGTTCGATCTCGAGCCGAGCTCGACTCGAGCTCCATTCGAGCTTGATTCGAGCTCAAGTCAAGTTTCACTAATTAATTTTATAGGTTTGAACTCGAATAAGATGCTCGAATTCGAACTAAAAAATATTATATGTGTACTTATTCATTCTCATTTTTAGTTTATCTCTCATTTACTAAAATTTATATTCTTTATTTTATTGTCAATAAATATTAAGAGTACATATTATAATTATTACAGATTATGGTTATAATAATAATACTACGCACATGTTATTATTTTTGAAATTATTACTATTATAATATACTCTGTGATAAGTATTGAAAATCGAATAGTCCTACATTAGAATATATATTTCAAAAAAAGTATATATATAATTATTACATATATATTAATTATATATAAAATATGATACAAAAGCTCGCGAACCGGCTCGCGAGCCACGAGCCTAAAATAAATAGGCTTGAATAGAGCTTGTTAACTATTCGAGTCGAGCCGAACTCGAGTCGAGCATAATATGACCGAACTCGATTCGTGCTTTTCCCTAGCGATCCACGAGCAGCTCGCGAGCGGCTTGGCTCATTTACACCCCTACCTGTGATGGGACCTTTCTCTAGACGCTCACCTTGAAGGGCCCATTTTCATTGTTAGAGGGGATATTTTAAGAAACTGAGTGCATTCTTTGATCATTACATTAGCACACTTGAATAATACAACAACAACATTATCATAGCACCCGGTACCACAAAGGCTCTCACCTACAGTGGGGTAAGGGGGTCGGACATATGTAGCGTTACACCTGTGCTTTTATTATTATTATTATTATTATTATTATTATTAGCACACTTTATTAATCATAAAAATTAATTAATTAGAGTAGATATACACTTGATCAAAGTAGAAGCAGAAAAGAGAAGGCTTCACGTATGATACCTCAATGGTGCCAACCACATACTCAGAAAGTAATGCAATGGTGACTGTCATACCAATCAACCAAGCAAATGCACTCCAAACTCCAATCACACCCTTTTCTTCGGACACATTATCTTCTTCCTCCTATCATTTACCGCCCAATATAATTAGTCCAATAAAAAATCTATCTCAGATCTTATAATCCAAGGGTAATTGGGAAATGTTCAATAGGTCTGAACTTGATTAATAACAATGAAACTTACTTGAATGGTCTCAACTAGTTTAAACAATTCGCTATCTAAGTCGAATCATCTGTCCAAGTCTAGTCTAGAGTTGGTATCTATTTATTTTACTATATGATCTGAACTAGTGTTAATCCTATTACTATCTTAATACTACTACCCTACTCCTACTTACCAAGAGGAGACCTAGTATTTAAGTTTGATCTATCATTCATAATTACCTCTGAAGAAGAATCAAACAGCTGTTTGTGAGTTTTGAGTTGGAAGAAGAGGTAAGCAACATAGGTCCCAAGCATGAGAATGCTGCCTGCTCTAGACAGCCCCAAGACTGAACTATCTGTATAATCCGACGGCTCAAAAGAATATCTAAACATCAGCGGCAAAACGAGACACAACAATCCCAGCAACAACATATACATGTTCACATCTGCTTGTTTCTGCCAATCCCATCCCCAAACAAATCTTCACAATAATTATTTATAATAAGATCATTCTTTATGATCATCATTTCGGATAAAGCAACTTACTCGGTCAAATCTCTGCTCTTTTTTTATATTGGTCAACCCTCCACATAAAAGAGAGCTCCCAAGAACAAGGAGAAGGTTGGAGAGGATGGAGCCTAAGAGGGAGTATTTGAGCACGTGAATCTTTCTCTGGTGAAGAGCAAGCAATGCTATTATCAGCTCTGTTGCATTCCCACATGTTGCATTTAGCAGTCCTCCCACTGCACCAAATTTTTCTTTCTCAAAATATGTATTGTTAACATTCATAACTAAAAAGATCAGATTTTGGGTTTTTTTATACTTACCCGTTGGTCCAATGAAGTTTGCGATTTGCCTTTCCACATTAGACAAGATAAAGGAAGTTAATTGAAGGAGAGTTTGATGATTAAAGAAAACTGAATTTACCACTTTTGACTCATATATAAGCCAAAGGTGCACCCTATAGTTTGACTTGATTTTCTACTTAAGTTTGACTTGACTCATCACTTTTGGTTCTTTTCCATCACCTTAAAAAAGACCAAAAGCCACAAGAAATCCTCACTATTAGGAGTGAGCATATACTGGGTTAAACTTAAACACCAACTATATTTCAGGTTTGATTTATTTTTTAGGTAAGGATTTAGTAAATTTTAAAATTTTAATCAGTTTGAAATGTTTGGGAAAAAAATTACCAAACGAAAATGCCCACTCCTGAGCAATATCATGCACAAAAAATGGAAATTATGAATTATAGACACCAACAATATTGTGCCAGAGTAGAAATTTTTCCACGTCTAAATAATTTTTTTGGACAATATGTATCAACACTTACTCTGTCAAGAAGCACACTCTTTCAGCAAGAGGTGCTAGCCCCAGCAAACTCAGTGCGAAAATCCATGGCTAAGAAACAAATAATTAATAATTAAATAAACGCAAAATACTCCGTACATTAATAATAATAAAAAGTTGGTTTTTTCTACTCCTATACTGAAAAGTGAAAACTTAGTCAAAGTTTGACAGACAAGTACAATATCTTAAGACTTTGTCAAAGTTTGACCCCAGAGTAAAAACGGTGTGTTGATCAAATTATTACTAGTACAAAATAGAAAAAAAATTTAACTGCTAATTACTTCCTCTGCTCTTTAATTCTTGTAATATTGTAATTTTTGCACTATTCACATACCTTATTCTGATCACGATTTTCTACTAATATACATAATTAATTTATTACGTATAAAATGTTATTGAATTCCTATCAATGTGAATTTCCAAAATATCAATTTTTTATAATATTTACTAATACATAATTAAATATAATTACAGTCAAAGTTGTGCATTGACAAACGTGTGAAAGTAAACTGTTGCAAGAATTAAAGAACTCAGAATATAGTATATAAGAAGAGTTTTAAAGTTTGTGATAAATTTGCTCAGTATAATCTTTGATAAAATTGACGGCATAAGAAAAGTGCGATTTTTGTGGGGAAGTTGACTTACCCTTCTGAAATTGTAGAGCTGAGCGACAATGGCCAGAGGGATGGCCGGAAAAAGCACACAGAGCTTGGTTCCAAGAATCACCTGCTGAACATTTGCGAGAACCCGCCGGATGACCCGAAACCGGATCCGAGAAACAAGCTCCGGGTCGGATTTCTTCCTGACAATGGAGGAAGACAAGCTGTGCGCCGTCCGGCAGGCGGCGCTGCTCTGCTCCTCCACGTCCAACTTACCCTTCAAAGACCCCATTTTTACAACGATGAAAGGTGTCGGAAATTCGAAGGAGACGGTGAGTAGACTGAGGGAAGTGTGGGAATGCTTTACGTGGCTATATAGAAGAATTTCCTGGGGATGAAATTGAAAATTCGTGGAAACGACAACCAATTTTACTGATATGAATGAATCTGCGATCTTGCATGAAGAACACGTAGTTGGCAGAGCGGAGATATGGGTGTCACAGGAAACCCTGAAATAGAAATTTGCGTTGGCTTTTTTGGATTACTACTATATTATAATCCATTGTCATCGACTGCACTCTAATAACTTTTCGGGATTTCTTGATCGGTGCACAATATCCATGGCGATTTAATATACTCTGTTCATCAGTATACCGGAGTAGCACAGATTGTGGAGTCCAATATAGTGGAAGTCGGTTCAAAAAATATGTGCGAAGTTAAAGATGATAAGGTAATTCGGCATTACCTATAATAATTACGTCAAAAATAAGACTCAAGCTTTGACATTAGATGATTGAACAAAAATGAGACTTAATATGTACTTAGAAGCTGTTCTGTTCGTCTTAATCTTATTACTTATTGTTTATTCTTATTTTATTCAGATCAGATCAGATCAGAAAAATTCAGATCAGATCAGATCAGAAAGATTCAGATCAGATCAGATCAGAATCATTCAGATCAGATCAGAAACATTCAGATCAGATCAGGAACATTCAGATCAGATCAGGAACATTCAGATCAGATCAGGAACATTCAGACATGATTTATCCCTTTTATTATAATAATAATTATAATAATATTAATTATTATTATTATTATTATTATTATTATTATTACTATTATTTTATTATTATTATAATTATTATTATTGTTATTATAATTAATATTATTATTATTCTTGTTGTTATTGTAATTATTATTATAATTACTATTCTTATTGATATTATTATTATTATCATCATCATCATTATTATTATTCTTAATTTATTATTATTATTATTATTCTTGTTGTTATTGTAATTATTATTATATTTACTATTATTATTGATATTATTATTATTATTATCATCATCATCATTATTACTATGATTACTATGATTATTATTATTATGATATTTATTATTATCATGATTATTATTATTCTTATTACTATTATGGTTGTTATTGTTATTAGTATTTTTTTTGTTATTATTATATTACACGGAGTAATTACAATTAAAATTATAGAAATAAATATTATAATTATAATTAAAATTATAATTATAGAAATAATTATAACTAAAAATATAATTACAATTATAATTATAGCTTTTTTTTTTACTCTAGGAGACGTCTGGGGGAGGGGGTCTGGGGGGGGGGCCTGAAGTAAACTAGGTAGAAACTCACCCCATTGAGTTTCGAACTCGAGACCTCCCATAAGGGAGAGTGAGTCGGCGACCAGCTGAGCTGAACCGCTTCCTCTAATTATAGCTATATTTATAACTAGTGTAATACGTATAATAATAATAATTATACCTATTATAATTATTATAATTATAATTATAATTATATTTAAATTATATATATGTAATTACATTTCTAATTATTATAATAAAATTAAAATTACAATTATAATTTTAGAAATATTTAAATCAGACCAGATCAGAAGGATTCAGATCAGATCAGAAACATTCAGATCAGATCAGGAACATTCAGATTAGATCAGAAACATTCAGATCAGATCAGGAACATTCAGATCAGATCAGGGACATTCAGATCAGATCAGGGACATTCAGATCAGATCAGACCAGATCAGAAAGATTCAGATCAGATCAGATCAGATCAGAAACATTCAGATCAGATCAGATCAGAACTTAAAAAATTCAGATCAGAAACATTCAGATTAGGTGAAGAGAACAGGTTCTTATTTGAGACAAAAATAAAACTACGCTTTATTGGTGATTTTACTATTTTAGTGTAACTTTAATCTGAAATCATATGAGTGTCAAAAAGTATAAGAACTAGTCCTTCTATCGCAATATGAATTACAAAATTTTCTATTTTAGTTGTTACAAATTAATGTTCCACTTTTGATTTTAGATACTTCGTATGTATATATGTATAAAGTAACACAAACTTATCCTTACTTTTACTTTTTCTCATTAACATAAAGGGACAAATCTTCATGTCAGACCGGCCTGACGGGATGCTCCGTCCAGCTGAGAGCATTTTGGACATTTCTCGGTGGAATTTTTGGATGCAATTTTTTGAGCATGTTCTTCATGAAGTCTAGTTTATCCATAACAAATTTCAGCTAAAAATTCAATCGGGAAGATACTCAAATAATTTCTTGAAGTTAACTGGGCAGTTCATACATATAAACTGATCTTAAAGTTGACCAGCATATGGGTCTGGATGTGGAAGGCTGCAATTGGGTATTTTCTGCAAGTCAGAACTCCTCTGATGTTGGGCTGAGATGGACTGATAAATTTGCTCTTGGTAGCAATGCTGAGGGAAATGTTCATAAAATAAAGGAGTGTGGTGTGGGTATCTCTTGTAAGGATCGGGAAACCAATATGTTCACGCTTATTCTGCCCGAAGTTCATCAAGATCCGGTCCCTGAAACTCGTATTGTTGCTGCAAGAGCTATGGGTTCGCTTATAAGGGAAAGGAAAGATGAACACTTGCCAGACTTGGGACTTTGGCGGTTGGAGAATCTCGCATCGCATGGCAGTACTGTGGTGAACAACTTATTTTGCATAAGGCTGGTTGTAGACAGTGAATTGAGTAATTTGAGCAACCTCAAATCTGCATCCAACTCACTGATAACTTCAGAAGTAAGAGTCCTTGAGGAGTTCTTTGAAAAGGAGGAATTAATTGTAGCTAGTGAGTGCTTGAAGGCCACTGCACCAAAAGAAACTACACTCGACATATTTTCTGCAGCAGCAACATCTGTAATTTTGGAGGTACAAGTACTGAAGCTTCTGATTCAACAAACTGCGAGATACTGGGAAGGAAGAGGCGCAAGGATGAAGGTGAACCTGAAGATCAAGGCAGTTTCATATCACCCACCTTGAGGACAAGGTGGTTGTCCAAGGGGGGAGATATGTTAGGATCATGGGCTAAGGAGAATAATAATAAGAATATTAGAATAGTTACAAATAATTGTAATAGAGTATTAGAGGGGTTTGGGCCAGGGGTTTGGGCTGGCCCATAATAAGAGTATAAATAGGAGGGAGGGGGGAAGTAGAAGAGGGGGAAAAAATGGGACTGGGACTGGGACTTTGGGAGTCGGAAACGACTTGGGAATTGTATTCTTATCTCTCGGTTAAACAATAAATTTTGGTCCTTGATCTTCATCGCCATTTTTAGTTCAGAATTACTGTTGAATTATCGATACCCTAACACTTTCTAAAACTATGGGAATAATAAAATTAGCATTATATATTTTTTCTTAATCTATATGTCATGGTTTTGCATGACTAGTTTTATTACTATAAATATTTATTTTTATTTTCTGTTCATTGAGTATTAACCTATGATGGAATGGAGCCAAAGATTCATTATTTTTTGGCTTGAGAATATGATGGAATAAAGCAAAATGGCTCACCAAATTGTCTGCGCTTCTTTGTTATGAAGCAGCAGTCAGTCCATGCAATTTTGGACGCGATTTTCATTAGGGGTCATTTGGAAACGGTCTCTTTGTGCTTTAGTACAGGGGTAAGACTGCGTACATCCGACCCCCCCCCTACCCCACCATAGGTGGGAGCCTTTGCGGCACTGGGGTAAATGATGATGAAATGATGATGATTGAGTATTAACCTATACTGTTTGTAACTTTGTATGCTCTTTGGACTTAGGTTATTGGCTTAGTTTGAGATTTATGTAGTACTCCATATTTAGGCTATTGGCTATTTTGAATGCAATTGTAAAAATGTTGAAATCTAAAGTGATTAACGTTTTTTAAAACAAAAAATTAGGATAAACTGAAATGATTAATTTTAAAGCGCTTTTGACTTTTAACAAAGTCAAACGTTTTAATTTGCTTTAGTTCCCGGTAAAGCAATCAAGTGTAGTGTCAGTTCAGTTCAGGCTTTTTTAAAAGTTTGACCAACTGTACAAATTGGCATTTTTTTAGCATTAAACATAAGTGCTAACATGTTACTTTTTCTGGCAGGCATTGGGTCAACATGGCATAATATGCTTAGAAGACATAATTAATGAGATTGCTAATGTTGGACCACACTTCAAGGATGTAAGTAGCTTTCTATACCCCTTCCCTCTGAACAAGCCAGAAAAATCATTGCAAACAAAGAAGATACGATATTCAGATGGGGGAGAATGTGGAAACCGTGAATGTCATATCAATGACTTAATCAGTAAGATGAATTAGCATAAGCCGCAGTCTTTGTATGAGCTATCATGTTTTGATAAATGCAACATAAACTTGTTATCTCATTCCTTGAGAAATGTATGACCATAAGTTTATATTATCGTATAATTTCTCCAATTTTCCGTTCATGCTTATGTGATATTTCTACATGCTCTTGTGGCATAACTGCACAAGCAACTGAGCTATATTACATGCCTTCGCCGTTCATAAGTACCTTAATCTTGCATACTAAGGTGATGGGGATATGCCTCCATTACTTTTGGTTATGATTATACGGTTATACCCCCCAACATGATACAATTTTTATGCCCCCTTTCCACTGGGCTAGAAGGCTGTTTTGTTGTTTTGTTAGAGCTGTTTGTTGTTGCGCTCTTGGCCCTCGTGGCATGTGATTGTTGTGTCATGTAGGCCTTGATTATTGTAGTTTTTGTGTTTGAAGGCTGCTGCCTGCTGGGGATATGCCTCCATTACTTTTGTTTTTTTGCTGGTTTACACATGGGTTCTAGGTAGGCATGAACTTGGTCTGATCTGGTCCTCGTTCTGGGCCTAGTCCATTCGGTCCTTACTACATTTTATTGAAGGCCAGGCCTAGAATTAGGGATAGACCGGGATCTAGAGGTGGACTCGTGCCGGTTCGGGCCCGGTTCAGACCTGGGCCCGGCCGGGCCTCGGGCCAGAAAACTAGGGCCCGAGCCCGAACCCGAACTGCCGGTGGCCGGTTCCGGGCCAAACCGGGCCGGGCCAAACTGGTCCATATTTTTTTTTTTTTTTTTTGATTCTCCTATTTAACCCCCTACCCCTCCCCCTCAACCCCAAACCGCCTCAAATGGCCCAAAATACCTAATCCAACCCAAAACTTAAAAAAATTTCAAAAAAAAAAAAAAAATTAAAATCCGGCCCGGATTGGGCTCGAACCGGCTGGTTCCCCTAAAGCAGGGCCTGAGCCCGGACCGCCCATCACCCAGGCTGGGCTGGGCCAAACCAAACCGATGGACCCACCGGGCCTCGGGCCGGTTTCGGGTCGGGCCGCCCGGCCCGAGTCCACCCCTATCGGGATCAACCCGGGCTTTGGCCCGGGTCTCAAAATTTCAGACCCAATACAGGCCTAGGTTTATACCAGGACCGGGCTGGACCCAAATAGTATTGGGATCGGGCTGGGCCTAAGCAACAAATTTTAAAAATAGTGTAATCGCCTAATCGGGGACTGCTCGCCCCGGCAAGGCCTAAAAAATGAGTTTGAAGCTTGCCCTTATAGCTACCGGGCCCGGGTCGGGTTGACCTGTCCCAGTCCATCCACCGCCGACATCTAATCTCCGGCGAAGTAGCGTTTCTGCTCTCAGCACTGCTGACGGTGGTTCGTCTTAGCTTCCCTCCCCATTTCGACAGTAAAGTTGACTGGTTTATCAGTGTACTTGAAATTCACTACACGATTGATTGTTGAGATTTGAGATTGAATTTTGATATCACCTCCAGTTCAAAATTCGATTGTTTTAGCCGTTAACCTATCGTTTTTTGAATGTTTGATCGTTTTGCTGGATGATGTGGCTTCTCTACATTTCGTATTTGAGTTCACTAATTTTACATTGTGGCACTTGGGTGATTTATTGATCTGCATTTTTGAATGACTTTATAGTGTCCGGAAGAGTTCGAGTTTCCATTCGATTGAGACCGCGGAATGATGAGGAATTGGCAGCAGATGCCGATTTTGCTGATTGTGTAGAGCTGCAACCTGAGGTGTTTAACTTAAGCAGTTTCACTCTTGATGTAGGATTTGTTGATTTCTTGAAATTGCTCATTCATTGTTTTGATCGGGCAGCTTAAAAGGTTGAAATTAAGAAAAAACAACTGGGATACGGATACATATGAGTTTGATGAGGTGTTCACTGAGTTTGCATCACAAAAGCGTGTGTACGAGGTGGTTGCGAAACCTGTTGTGGAGGTGTGTTTCCTTTGTCCACTTGATTCAGCTGTTTTAAACTCCTCTAACTGACGAGAAATAGCAAGTGATAAGATTCAATAAAAGAGAGTTTTCACTATTGATTGATCTTTATGCTCTATTTCCTGCATTCTTTTTAACTCTACATATATGATATTTACCTTCTCGGTGGGAGCCAATGTTGATACAGAAGTTGTACAGGATATTGGAGGTCCATAGCTGATGGTCTTATTTGGTAAATGGTTAATCCATTAATTTTTTGGTACTATCACTACTATGGCCAACTTTAGCGGTTTGACATTGTCAAGCTGCTCATTTACATGGATTTTTGTTTAGGGGTTAGACCCCAAAGCACTGAAATTGAAACACTACAAGAGTAGCATTTTGAGTAGTAGATTGTTTTTTTGGTTTTAAAAAACATTTTAATTTTCCCTAGTCCCTAATCATCAAATGTGGTATTTGATTCGTAATATAATATTCCAAATTAATTTTTATATTAATTTTCTTTAATTATGTTAGTTTACAATAAAAAAGCAATGATTATAACCATTACTGGAACAACAAAAACATAAACAATGACAACACCTATTATTACTATTACAAGATGAAGAGAGTGGTGACAATGATAACCTTTTTTTGGCACATCACAATAGTACAATAATACTAATAATCTATAAAACTAATATTTGAACTTTCAAATATTCATAAAATTGTTAGTGATACCAAATAACTGGATTAATCTGTAGTTATGAACTTGAACTCTTATGGCACAATTTGATTGTAAAAAATGCCAACACAAATGCACAATCCACGATCCACTAACTCTTGTTATCCAAACAAGGCCAATGACTTGTTGATTCTTGGTCATAGATTTTGTAATCCAAAATCTAGAAAGAGAAATAAAGAGAGCTAAAGAGAGAATTATGATTGCATAAATGATTAGAAAGTCAGAATCTTAACTCTTACATCAGTCCCATTGGAGGTATTTATAGGTGTACAATGATTGTACTTGGCTAGTTACCTGTGCAACACGTGTCGCTAACTAGCTATGCTTGTGACATGTCACATGTCACATGTGTCATTCACAAAACTGGAAATTAGGATAAATGGTTACCCACAAATCCAGTACTGATGCATTTCCTTCTGATTGGCTGATTCAATCCCTAGAAAACACTTAATCTCCTTCCTTGTAGCTGAAGCCGAGGACAGAAAAACCTAACAATGAGCTCTTAGGCCTGCCTTGGAGTGTGGGCCCCCTCTATCTGTGTCCATCTGTTCATGGGCATGGGGTCTAAACCCATATACTCCATTTGGTTAGAAGTTCATCTATTTTTCTGCTATTTCATACCATTCATTCCTTTTGTCATATTTCTATACAGATAAATGTTTGCAGTTTTTAGTTAGACATTTATAGGTTGTCAGTTGAAAATTATTTTTATGTGGTAAGCTCCTGCTAAAATGATCTATCCCATCTTCCTCTCTTTTTCTTAGAGTGTCTTGGAAGGTTACAATGGGACAGTTATGGCATATGGTCAGACTGGTACTGGGAAAACCTATACTCTTGGAGAATTGGGAGATGAAGATCACTCAACTCGTGGTATTATGGTTCGGTCAATGAAGTCTCTGTATCATACTTGCAGGTCGACATTTGATTTTTTGAAATTCCTGATTCTTTATAAGAGTTGTTTACACCCTTTAACTTGCAACCAACCATACACATATTCTGAAGCCTGAACTCTGAAATGCGATAAATGATACTGTCTATTTGCAGCTTTATATGGAAACAATTCAGGACCTCCTTAATCCTGCAAACGATAACATTTCTATAGTTGAAGACCAGAAAACTGGCGATGTATCCCTACCAGGGGCAACAGTTGTTGATGTCCGAGGAAAGGGAAATTTTATGGAGCTACTACAGTTGGGGGAAGCTCATAGATATGCTGCTAACACAAAGATGAACACTGAATCTTCTCGTAGTCATGCTATTCTCATGGTAAATGACCTTTTTAATGTATTGCTTTATGCTTCTCACTCTCATTTGGCTCCTAACTCTGCTTTACTTTGTTACTTAAAAGGGAGGAGGAAGCTCTTTGTGTATTTTAACATTTTTATGAACATACACCAAATGCCTGCCAATGACTGCCTGGTGATATACCTTACTTGTATTATTTGGTAATTTTGTATAGGTGCACATCAAGAGGTCTGTTTCTGTAAGGGAAACAGATATTTCTGCTGATTTTGATGATCCTTCTCCCCTGGCTACTAATTTTAAACCACCCATGCTTAGAAAAGGAAAGCTCCTCCTCGTAGACCTTGCTGGTTCTGAACGTGTTCTTAAATCTGGTATACCTAATTTTCTTTTTTAGTTATAAGTATTACTATCCTTGATTTAGTTATATACATAGTATATGAGCTTATGATATGGAGCGGGAAGAGCATGGGGCAGGACAGGATTAAGCCCACCTTAGTGGGCTGGTTGCGGGTTGTTTAATTAATATTTATTCTTTTTATTTTTCTTGATTTGTTTCCTTTTGGAGTTAATTAGGATTTCTATTATTTCTTTCCTATTTGGAGTTAATTAGGATCTTTATTATTCTGTTTCCTAGTTAGAGTTGATTATGATCTTTATTATTCTGTTTCCTAGTTAGAGTTGATTAGGATTTCTAGGATTTTGTTTCCTAGTTTAATTATTAGTAGATGAGTATTTAAACCCCTTGTTAGGATTCATTCTGGCTCATCTTGGAATAAAAGTTGGTTAAGCCTTTTGGCTTTCGACAACGGTATTTATTTATCGTTGATTATCGAGGCAACGGTTCACCCCGTTGATTTTATTTTTCTGTTCTTATCAATTGGTCCGACCTGCCGGATCCCTTCCCGCCAAGATGACCAGAACTCAGAATGAACGCTTGACAGAGATGGAAAACGAGCAGAACCGAATGGGAGAGGAAGTGGCCCGACTGGGGGCTAAGCAAACCCGGATGGCACTCGAGCAGAACCGGATGAACCAGATGCTCGAAGACCACTGTGCAAAGCTGGCGGAGATTGCCACCTCTTTGGCCGCGCTGACTCAGGCCCTGGTGCCACCGAAATCACCGGACACCGCCACGGCAGGAGTCAGATCTGCCTTGATATCGCCGAATGTGGAGGGAGTGTTGCGCAACCCTGCTCCAACCTTGTTACCTGCGTTTGACGGAACAGACCCAATCAGGTGGATGGCTCCAATCAGGTGGATGGCTAGGGCTGAACAACAGTTCGAAATTAATCAAACCCTACATGAGAGGAAAGTGGCAGCAGCTACGGTAGCCATGGAAGAGGCTGCCCTGTACTGGTTGACCTGGCTGAAGGCACGAAAACTGGGCCTGTCTTGGGAGGAATTCACGGATGCACTGGTGGCCCATTTTGATTCGCGGTTCAAGGGCAACCGATTTGAACGGCTGTCCGGGGCCAAACAGTGGGGGACCATAGAAGAATATAATAACCTTTTTGTGCAGTTGGCCAGTCAGGTTCCTGGGCGGTCCGAAGATCATTATTTGGGCTATTACATGAGTGGGCTTAAAGAAACAATCCGAAGCTCGCTGCGATTACTTCGGCCGAACAACCTCGAGATGGCTATGGAATTAGCTCGCGAAGTGGAGCATAATTTGTCCGTCCAAAGTGGAGAAGGTGGCAACCTGAATTATCATTCTTCAGGGGTACGTTCTAGCAGCCTTTTAATGGCAAACACAAGTTCCCCGTTGACTGCCATTGGTGGCAGCTTATAGGGTTCGGAAGGCAGCTTTGCGAAAGATAGTGGACAGCCTCTGGGGACGAAATCAGGGCTGTTCGGGCAGCCTACGACACGCTCTTAGTTCACTCGACTTCCACCGAAAGTGTTTGCAGAATTGAGGGCGAAAGGATTATGCTTTAGGTGCAAGAAACCATATACGCCAGAGCATGATTGTCCCTTTAAGCAGCTGCGGGTAATGATAGCTGAGGAGGATGAAGAGTTAGACCTCGAGCAGCATGAATTCTGCGAAATAACCGACCAGGAAAGGGTTCAAGAAAGAGAAGAAGGATATTTTCCAGTCTATTCTATGTCTGGAAATTTCAGTTCCCGATCCGCGAGTTTTCAACCTTGAGGACAAGGTTAATTTGAAGGGGGATGGATTGATATGGAGCGGGAGGAGCATGGGGCGGGACAGGCTTAAGCCCACCTTCGTGGGCTGGTTGCGGGTTGTTTAATTAATATTTATTCTTTTTATTTTTCTTGATTTGTTTCCTTATGGAGTTAATTAGGATTTCTATTATTTCTTTCCTATTTGGAGTTGATTAGGATCTTTATTATTCTGTTTCCTAGTTAGAGTTGATTATGATCTTTATTATTTTGTTTCCTAGTTAGAGTTGATTAGAATTCTAGGATTTTGTTTCCTAGTTTAATTATTAGTAGATGGGTATTTAAACCCCTTGTTAGGATTCATTCTGGCTCATCTTGGAATAAAAGTTGGTTAAGCCTTTTGGCTTTGGGCAACGGTATTTATTTATCGTTGATTATCTGGGCAACGGTTCACCCCGTTGATTTTATTTTTCTGTTCATATCAGCTTAGGAGTACAACTAACTTTCTAGTATACCGATCTTTAATCTCATACTTTAGTTTCTTATTCAATTGACCAGTTATGACATTTACCTGAGGTTTGGGATGTCATATGCCAGTAGCAAATGCATAAGTGTATAGCTGATGCAATATACACATGCTAAAAAATTGAAGCTTTACTATAGTGTGGATTTTATTTTCATTATGGTGGATCGCAGGAAGTGAAGGGCATATGCTAGAAGAAGCCAAGTCTATCAACCTTTCATTAAGTGCATTGGGGAAGTGCATAAATGCTTTGGCAGAAAATAGTACTCATGTTCCAGTCCGGGATTCAAAACTAACACGGTTACTTAAGGACTCATTTGGAGGTTGGCTTGTATTTGTGTTACACGTAAAAATAATATTTTGCACTCTCCATCCCCCCCACACTTTCCCAAAATCTACAAAAATAAATAACACATATCATTTCTCAAGATATTTCTGAAATGTAATTTGACGTGACAGTAGATTTCCTTAGAAGCTGTTTTAATGCTGTTATTATTTAATGTAATATGACAGGCACGTCAAGAACGTCATTAGTTGTGACCATTGGTCCATCGCCACGCCATCGAGCAGAGACAGCAAGTACCATTTTGTTTGGACAAAGGGTTGGTTATTGGATCTGGAACTTTATTTGGAGTATTCATTCAAAAAAATATCACCATTCAAGTTTGTGCATATTATGTAGCCAGATGAATCTTTTGCTTTCATTGTATTAAAGGCTATGAAGGTGGAGAATATGTTGAAAATCAAGGAGGAGTTTGATTACAGAAGTTTGTGTAAAAGGCTTGAGCTACAAGTTGACAAACTCATTGCTGAAAATGAAAGACAGCAAAATGCTTTTGAGGATGAGGTAAAGAGAATCAGGTTAGAAGCGCAAAAGCACGTCTCTAAGGCCGAGCAAAACTGTGCAGATGAACTAAAGGTTATTTCAGTATCTCTCTTACAGAGAACCTTTCAGGGACATTTGAATTTTTTTACACCTTTGCCGCACTTGATAATAAATCATACTCTTTAAAGGAATAGGACTGCCAAGTTTTGTTTTGAACTGTAAATACATATTCAGTTCAATAATCCCTATTATGGATTATTTCCTTGTAGTTCCAACTTTAGTCACCATTTTCTTTAAATAGTCCCTCACCGGGTGGCTTTAGTTATGACCAGAAAGAGTAAAGATGTGTGTTTCTTCACCGGCAGATCTTCAAAAGCGTTAACAACATATTTCACTTTCCATGTGAAGCTTTCAAAGATCTTTCTGCTAAACAACTCTACACCGAAATTTGTAACTGAGAAAGAGAGTCGTGATTGGAATTTTAACACATAGAAGAACCCTGTATAATCAATTATTCAATTCCATTTGATTGAAAAACACAATCACTCTCTCAACTATCTAGAAATAATGATTAGGATCTTTAATTAACCCATTTGTTTATCTGATCCCCCCCCCCCCCAACCCCCCAAATTAAAATCAATATGCAAACTTCCTAAGAAATTCTGAGCACAAGAAGAGTTTTGTCGTCTTCTCCATGTTCTCCGATAATTTGAAGCTCTCCATGTTGTTCGGCATCAATGAGAGGTTTACACAGGAGAAGAAAAGTGGACTGATAATTGTGTCCTGCGCTCTGCTTTACCTTCAAATGTCACTGTAGGTGCAAGGGGATTTTCTCTAGCCGTTGAGGGAGGGCCAAGAGGAAGGTCAGAGGAAAACCAGTTGTTTAGATGTGGGGGTATCCGGATGGATTAACCGGTTGGTGCGTTTAAATGTGGTGGGGGTTTACTGGCTGGATAGGTATTCAGTCCAAAGGACTATTTAAATAAAAGAGTGGTCAAAGTTGGGACTATTGGGAAATAATCCATAATAGGTTTTATTAAAAGTGGATCGCGAATAGTTGGGATTAATAATATCATTTTTTCCGAAGTAAAACTATCTTGATCTTTATTCATGATTTGAGCTGGTGGCTCTTGCAATTGAAATTTATACTTTTAAAGTTCCTTATGCATTACATGCTTAGTTTAATTTTTATTTATTAATTTTCATCATGAAGGAAGAGAAAATTCGGTGCCAGATGGAATATATGGATTCAATCAAGAAACTTGAAGAAAAGATGCTTAATCAGCAGAGGCATCCAGCCAATGGTGTCACCGGTAATGGAGAGGTATTTCTTTTCTTTACACCCCTATCATGACATTCTTATCGTCTTCTCTATTTTAGTAAGATCAAAGTAGTCACAGTATAACCTTCTTTCCACTGTATTGTTCGAAACTTAATAGAAATGATTTGAATTTACTTTTTGGTACAGAGTCACGGTGGGTTCACCAATGAGGATGTATCTGAACTGAAGAAGTTGCTGCAGAATGAAATTCAAACAAGAAAGGCAGCAGAAGAGGAAATCAGTAGCCTAACAAATCAGATTATGAAGATAAAAAAACAAGAAGTATGCATTGAGAGAAGGGTTTAGTTATACTAAAGAATTACTCCTTCCAGTCGCTAAAAACAGTTCTGTGCCTAAAGTTTTTTGTCTCATTAATAAGAGTCCTGGATGAACAAATGATGATGATTTTCCAAGGCGTAAAGGGTCAGTTTGGTCCTCGAAGTTGCAAAAAAAGTGTCAAATAAGTCCTTTTATGGAAGATTCTATCTGGACATGCCATTTGAGGTGGCTCCCAGTGAAATTTTTTGATAAATTTTTTTGAGCATCTTATTCATTAAGTCTAGTTTACTCATATCAAATTTCAGATAAAAATTCAACCGGGAAGACATTCAAATGAATTCTTGAAGATAACTGCGCTTTTAACGGCATAATTATCTTCAAGAATTCATTTGAATGTCTTCCCGACTGAATTTTTATCTGAAATTTGATATGAGTAAACTAGACTTAATGAATAACATGCTCAAAACATTTCATCAAAAAATTCCACCGGGAGCAATCTTAAATGGCACTTCTAGACATATTCTTCTACATAAGGACTTATTTGACTCCTTTTTTGCAACTTTGAGGATCAAACTGACCCTTATCCCATTTTCCAAGGAACTTGCCAAAATAGATGAACTAACAACTAACAAGTTTAACATGATATGTTTAGGTAAACCATCAAAAAGTATATTAAATCTTAAATATAAGTGTCATTTATGACTTGTAACAGACATTTTTTTCTAAAAATAAAGGGCTGCATGTTGGTCAAACAAGATTCTACTTCATAGGACAAAGGGAGTATTGCATATGAATGCAGTTTCACTTGCTCGTAAGATTGAACTGATGAGTGATTAATTGTGTAGTTACCCGCTGGAAACTCAGATACTATATATCTCCAAAAGCTGCTGGAAGAAGAGGCTAGTGAAAAGAAGAGGTTGGAAGACGAAGTGATCCTCTTAAGAAGTCAATTGTCTCAATTGAATTTGGAAGCTAGTCAGGTATAGCCTTTGGTTCAGACATTTGAATATGCTGCTAGATTTTTTGTTTGTTCCACTCATTTAAGAATCTAACTTTTTGAGCATATGTACATAGACTAAAAGCTACGATGATAGAAGCAGAAATGGCAATTCGCTTTCTGGTCTGGATTCTCTGTCTTCACTTAGACATCTGCAGTATAAAAATGGCAATAATGGGGAGAGAGTGGCAATAACCAATCTCCATGAACAAGGTTACTATTTGTTACATAACTCATATGTCATATTTAATGTTGGCTATAAATATGTCTTTACTCATTCTTATTAAATCAAATAACAGTTGGGCTAAATAAGATTATGTCATTGCTGGAATCAGAAGATGCTAGTGTGCAGATTCATGCGGTGAAAGTGGTTGCCAACCTGGCAGCAGAAGGTGATTTTTCTCTGCCTCTTCCCACTCCTTTATGAATTAAAAGAATACCTTCTTTTATTTTGTTATTGGCTTATTGCTACTCCATCTTGAGTCTGTAAGAAAATTACTCTCTAATTCTAAAAAGACCCTGAGAAAGTATGTTAATTCAAAATCTCTCTAAGTGATGTTAATCGTATTGAATAGGGATAGACGCCGAATGTGTTCAAAACAAAAATTTAGTTAATACTTACTCTTGTTTATAAACATGTATTTCATTTTTGTAAACCTTTTATTTTTGTGTTTATTTTTACACTTACAGATGAAAGGAATGTGTAACATTTTCTGTTCTAGGGTGTTCTTTATCAATGTACACTTTTAGAACATTATATAGAACTACTTAATAAATTTAATGATTTATTGCCTTGCAAACGACTATCAAGGATGTTAATATATTTTAATGGTCTTCAATGTATAATTTTTTTGATGGAGAAAACATTTATTATGCTTTAATTAGGCTTGAATGAAACTATTATTGGGGTTCTTGAAACATGAGATTCTGGGGCTTGAAATTAGATCTACTGTCAAAATAGTGGCATAGTTACTGTTAAGCTAATACTAGAACCAATAACTGATTCTGATTGTGGGAATTTTCCATGGTTGTCTTTTCTGCTCATGCTTAGAAGCGAATCAGGAGAAAATTGTTGAAGCTGGAGGTCTTACTTCACTGCTGATGCTCCTTAGAAAATCTGAGGATGAGACAATACGTAGAATAGCTGCCGGTGCAATTGCAAATCTCGCAATGAATGGTCAGCACTCAGCAAGCATTCTTTTGGCTGTTTGTGACTTTGTGCATTTGGAATAATATTGTTACTTTCCATCATATGAATGATGCTTTTGTCCTTTCACTTGCAGAAGCAAATCAGGAGCTTATTATGGCTCATAGTGGGATTAGTCTTTTGTCAATGACAGCAGCTGAAGCTGAGGATCCTCAGACTCTACGGATGGTTGCTGGAGCCATTGCTAATCTATGTGGCAATGGTATATGCATCTTTATTTTTTCGTCTTTGCGAATAGAACTTTTTTGTTCAATATTTTTTCCACATCATTCAACTTTTCCTACATTTCTGTTTGTCAAGAAAATAAAGCATTGTTCTAAAAAATTGTGGAAATACCAATAAGAGGTCTTTCATACTTGGTATTTTTTGAAGAGCTGATAAAAAAATGTTGTGAACTACAAGGATTATTAGTAACACAAGTTAATTACTTACTCCCTCCGTCCCAATATAAAAGGCACAATTGCTTTTCCACACATTTTTAGGGTGAACACTGTTTGGCACTGTTTGGACACTGTTTTGCACTGCTTTGCACTGTTTGACACTGTTTTGCACTATTTGGTACTGTTGCCAAAAAGGGAAATGTGCCTTTTATATTGGGACGGCCCAAAAAGGAAAATGTGCCTTTTATATTGGGACGGAGGGAGTATATTACAGGGAGCTGAAACATAAAGCGTATATTAACGAAAAAGTAAATCATAATTAAGCCTTTAATCTATAAGCATCAAGTCTGGAGGGTTTAGAATGAGCAACATGGGCGCAGATATAAAGAAAATGGAAGAATTACCAATATCAACGTAATCTGGCATTTATAATTTGTACCTTTTTTATTCCACAGATAAACTGCAGACGAGGTTAAGAACAGAAGGTGGTATAAGGGCTTTGCTAGGAATGGTGAGGTGCAGACATCCTGATGTTCTTTCCCAAGTTGCACGTGGAATTGCCAATTTTGCCAAGTGTGAGTCCAGAGCTTCTTCGCAGGGTGAGTCTTCCATGTCTTAACTGGCTACATTGTGAATATATTCTCAGTTTATACTCCTTCAGATACATAGAAAACCTCCCACTAATGGATGTACCTAACCTATTTGGCTGAAATGGCATTAGGAAATCATATGATAAGTGATAGCACATAATTCATCCAAATAAGTAAGTCAAGATCTACTTAGGACCTGTTTACTAAGGGTGATTTCCCCCAAATGAGTGAATTAACTGTAAATTCAGGCAGATATGACAAAGGCTACTTAGAGCCTATTGGTAAGGGTTATTTGACAGAAATGACTAAAATCCATTGAATTTTTTAAAAGAACTAGTGGTCTGTAAAATCCATTTCAGCGAACTATTAAGCAAGTGAAAAGCTACTCACTGTAATTATTCTGCAAGTTGCAGAATAAGCTGAATCAGGCTCTTATTTTGCTTACTTTTCCTATTCTGCTGATAATGTATGCCTACTAGGCTACTATGGAGAATAAGCCGATTATCTACCAGACGGAGACTTAAGGGCATCCACATCCATGGATTATTTTTGGGATCATTTTGATGATGTGGAAGATTTTTTTGGGATCATGGATATGAGGAGTTGAGATGATTTTATGAGATTATTTCATAAAATAATCTGGTATCAAATTTTAAAGCTGGATTATTTTGAGATTATTTCCAACTTCTAGGCATATACTCATAATTATGGTGATGACTAGCTTTGTAGTTCGTGCATGCTCATGCTCCTATACAAGGTAAATTAAGATCATGAATGAGGAGAAATTTTTTGATTTGCAGATTATTTGAGATTATCTTATGTGAAAGTGACATGGCAATAATAAGTCATGAAAAACCGTAAAATTGAAGATCATCATTGTGGATGCTCTAATCTGCTAAGAGTTTTAATAACCCCCCCCCCCCTCCCCCCAATACACTAGGCCTTCCTATAGTGCCCAATGCCTTTTCCTCTAATTACATTTAGCTTCTGCCTAACCCTGAATAATCCCTTGCTAGGCGCTAACCCTCTGCCTTCCGCTTGACGGACGTCAGCACTTTCTTTGGGTCTAACTGTCTAAGATAGTAAATTAATTCAAAAGGATATATTTATTAATTAGGCAGTATAATATTTTTTGATCAAGATTATATCATGGTAGGCATAAAACTTGGACAGTCCCTTCTAATAGAAGATGGAGCACTACCATGGATCGTGCAAAACGCCAATAATGAAGCCTCACTTATTAGACGACACGTGGAGCTTGCACTTTGCCACCTCGCACAACATGGTATGTGAGAGCTTTTCAGAGAACTGTGCTTCTTTGTAGAGGTTTTGTATGCTTGTTGTCTAGCTTCTGAACAATGTTTTTCCTTTCCCCCCTACAGAAGTAAATGCTAAAGACATGATTAGTGGGGGAGCCCTCTGGGAGCTGTATCGTATCTCACGTGACTGCACACGTGATGATATAAAGTTACTTGCACGCCAGACGCTGGCTTCAAGCCCAACTTTTTTATCCGAAATGCGGCGCTTGCATATAGATGTATAGACGGATGATGGTGGGTCCAAGTACCCATTGGAGGATTTCAACCATATTTGCCAAATTTAACTAACCAGTTATTAGGAGGGGGGTGGCTGTCTTTGCAAACACAGATCAGCATCTTGTTTGTTCATATCCATTCATTTTTTGTTGGTTGAAGTTATACTACTTGTGACATCTCGTGTGTTGTAACATATATATGAATGATTAGAGGTAAATTTAATGAAATTTACTAGTTTAATCGTTCCACTTGTTGTTTCTCTTAGTTTCGCATATTAGTACTTTAGTAGTCATTTTGAAAGTCCAATGTTGCGTCATGCACTGTGGACTGTGGTTGGTTTAAGATCGTCAGATGGAAGCGCTCAAGTTCTGATGAGAAACTTTCAGTTTTGAATTATGCTAGAGGTACATAACACTCTTACAAAAATTCTTATAAAAAAGATATGTGATAGACTGATAGTATCTTATTGTTTAGCACATGAGCACATTACATTACTTTTACATCAAAAGTGATTGCAATACCCACACTTATGTAAGTTTTTTATTGTAAGTTTGTGTTTATAGCATTTTTCTTCAATTTTCCACTCCAGCAAACTATGACAAAGTTTTAGTTTTTACATGTGGACCTAGTCAAGTTCTAGCTCAGTTCCACATCTAATTGCAGCACTAACCAATCTAGTTCGGGAACATGGTTTTGAACCAAATTTTAGCCTTTTTCAGAAACCCGAAATTTGAACCAGTCATGTCCAAGTTTATTTTGGAGAAACGGGAGAATGGTTTCTTTTATGTTATTATCAGGCTATCAGCTACAGCTAATATTGTTGTTCTAGAACACTATTCGGATATCTTTGACAAACTAGTTGAAAACATACTTTTGTGAGTTTTTTTGGTAATTGTTAGCTTTTGTTGATCAAAAAAATCTTACAAAAAAGGTGATAGTTGTTTGATCAAAATGATTTAGTTCTATTGGTACTTCACATAGCTTCTCAAAAAGATCTTTTAATTTGAAGAAAACTTTTAAAATTGTCATGTCAAACAAGCACTTCGTAGAGCTGTAATAAGCAATGGGAGTGTTGGTCTACGTAAGAATTTGTTCTATTCGTCTCATTTGTTCTGATTTGGTCTAATCTAATTTGTATCTTATGATCTGATTGAGCATTTATGATTATTAAATAATTATTACTTTATGAGAGGGTAAATGGGAAAGAGAGTCTATCACTCAGAGTCCAATTTTGCGTTGCTTGCTCGTGAAGGTGCCATGGCCGTTGTGATGGAGCCATGGAGGTTTTTGAGGTAGAGGTTAAACAGCAGTATGACGAGAGTTGTAGTAATAGATGATGTGGTCAAGAGATTATAGATTTTGCAACATTGAGCTACAACACCGCATAGTACACTCCATTTTTTTTTTAATTATGATCACACTCAAATATTAAGAAAAACTCAAAATGTTTTGACTCATAACATCAAGACAAGCATTTGCAAATAATATATGTATGTACTTATTCATTTGAGTTGTATTAAGTGCTCATGAGTCATGAGAACTTAGATTACATCAATATTTTAAATACTTCCTCCGTTCCATAACTCCCATTTAAAGGCTTCTACGTGATTTACATGTTTGACTGATCATAAAGTTAACTGATCCCTGTTAAAAACTACGTTAAAAGTTTTATAATACTTAATCAAGAAAAAGTAAATTTGATAAAAATTGGATATATAAAGTAAAAGACTAAGAACACTGCACGTTGATCGGAGAATAGTGGATGCGAACCTTTAAATCGGGCGGAGGGAGTAATACTACTCCATAATTAATAATTAAAGACCTAAATCATTTTTTCAGAATTTAGTCTCACCTAATTTGTAGATTATTGACTTGGATGAACAAAAGTAAAGAACAAAAACTAATTGTGGATGGTTTATTCAAATACTCCAAATTTAAATCATGTCTTTTGAAAGTAAAGAAGCAATTTCAAAAAGCAAATCAAGTATTCAATTGCATCAAGAGCCATCAAGAGCCTCTTATGGCCTATTTATTTGGCGGTTAATCTAGGTTATTGGAGTTTCAATTTTTAGTTAACCCTGTTTGTTTGTATTTTTGAAACAAGAATCTAGGTTATTATTAAATTTTGGGTTAACCCCGCTTAACTCCCGAGACCCTGGGAAAACCTAAAATTGAAGAACCTCCGAAATGGGAGGTTTTGGAGGTTAAGTTCTCGTATAACATAAAATGAGCTAGAGAGAGTACCTTCATCCAAACAACATTTATTACATTAGCCTAGATTCACCTTATTTATTCCCAAACACTAGTTTACGCATGAGTCTAGGTTTAACTTAGGTTTATCTAGTTTTTATTAAAACTTAAATTTACTTTATTGCACTAGGTTTACTTAAATCCACTTTATCTAAACAGAGCATTAAGTAACTACAAAGTAAGATGATTGCGTTGAAGTTATGACAAAAAGAATCAAATTTTTGGATATATGAAAAAATACGTAAAATATAATCCCTCTGTATTTTAATGTTCATTACATCAGGTTTATTTTGACAAATTAATTAAGGAGTAAAGTAGTAGGGGAAAATGAATAGTGTAGAAAAAATAGGAGAGAGTGTGTAAAAGTATGAAAGAGAAGACAAAAAATAAAAACAAAAGTAGTTAAGTATTTTATATAAGGTAAACTTATAAAAAATGAAAGTGTAGCAAACTTTTAAACACATCCCAAAAAAGAAAGTGTATCAAACATAAAAATACGGGAAAATACCCTTTTAATAAATTAAATAAATATTAAATGGAAAAGATTAAAAGTATAAATATTGTTTTAAATAGGAGTAAAAACGTTTGTGTACTTCAGAATATCATTATCATGTTTTTATTCTCTAAATAAGAGTAATTAATATTATGTTTTAGCAATATTAGATATGACAATGTTTTTCACTGAACACCAATTCTTCATATTTAAAGAATAAAAATATAAAATCTTATTTTCCTATTTTGAAATTTTTGTGAGTTGAATTGAAATCAGAAATTAAAACCAAACGGACCCAGAGAGTTAACATCCGGCGGTTTTATTAGGTGACTAGGGCTTCATAAAGCCAGAACTCCCACTTTCTATCACGCCCTGCCCTCGTATTTTTCCGGATACTGCACGCAGACATGGCGGCGGAGGGAGAGGAGCAGCCTCTGACTTTCATAGATGAGGTTGTGCTGAAGTAGAGGAGAAACAATGAGGAGTGGGCCATACGAAGGAAGCATCAGCTGGAGCAGAAAGTCAGGAAGCTCAAATCTGATAGCTTCATCATCAAGAAGCCCGAACAGTTCATTAAAGAATATCGAGACAAGGTAAAATATTTTGACCTAAGTCAGTACCATAAATGTTTTCCGGTGTCTTATTTGATGAAGAAATTGTGTCCTTCATGGTATGTGTTGACGTTTTAAAATAAACAGTGCATGTTGAGCATATGTACATTTGTTAAACTGTTTTTAGTTGTGTTTAAAAATGGCATATGTAATGCCATTTTCTTCAATTGTTTGTCACTCCATAATCACAATTTTCACTTTCCAACTCTAACTTTTCATTCTCCCAATCAAGTCAACAAACTTTCTAAGATGGATAGAAAGAAAATTTATGGATTATTTGTTAATTAGACTTGATCCATACAATATTATGTAGTCACAATCATCTTTTGTGTGATTCTAGCTTCAAGTTTGAGTAGTATATACTTCTAGTTTTTTAAATCAACTCATATGTCACATGACCTATGTGGTCTCAGTGTTGAAATGATTTTTGTTAGTATGTTGGGTGCGATGTCATAAACAGCAGCCTAGGCAGGTGAAAGATGGTCAACCTCCTTGGTTCCAAAGCTGATGAGGGGGTCTGGCCTTTAATTATTATTATTCTTGTTAACGAAATGCAGAAACTACTTTCCCTCTCTCTGAATTTCATTTCACTCACAATCTTTTAATGATTGATCAAATGTAAGTTAGTGTTTTTTTACATGACATGGATAGAAAAATTGTGTTTAGTTGTTAGTTATTTAATTTTGGAAAAACTATGCATGTTTACAATTCAATTTAAACCTATTTCATGGTGTCACCTAGACAGTGCCCTTTGTGGTTCCTTCAAACGCTTCCTATGTTGTTTGTGTAATTCTGTAAAACACAGTGTTAGCATTCTCATGATGTAAGATACTCCCTTTATATATCTTAGTATTCTCTTTTTTTTTTTTTTCTTTTTCTCAGGAGCTGGACCTGGTAAGAATGAAACAGAGGGGTAAAAGGAGATTACCAGCGTTCCCAACATCCAAACTGCTTTTTGTCATACGTATTGGAGGGTGTGTTACCTGCATATCTACACTGCTTGTAGTCTTTTATTTGCACTGCTTCTCTGCGGTTCTAACAGTGCGAATCATTCAGGAAAAATGATATGCATCCGAAAACACGAAAGTATTTATACTCATTGAGGCTGGGGAGAGTATTTGATGGGGTATTCCTAAAGGCTGATGAAAGAGCATTAGGAATTTTGCAGAAGTTAGAGCCTTACGTCACATATGGGTACGATGAGTTGATCTCCACATCCAGTACAAATAAGTAGCTGCGTTGCTTATTGTTTTGACTTTTGAATTTTGATGGTTTTGGATGTCTTATTTTAGTGGCACCTTGAAGTATAAAATAAGATTTTGGGCAAGATACCTTATTGCTTGTTTGGAGGATAAATGATGAAGAATAAAGAAACAAGAAATTATTTCTCATTGCTTAAAGAGTAACATATTGTGTGAAAATGATATTAATTACTATAATATGTAGGCTTTCAAGCATAATGATAGTCATCTAATACTTTATCTCCTAAATATTATTTCTGTTGTTTTATCTTATTGATAATTGACAAAGAAGTAAGGAGAAGTTACTTCTGCTCTTCCTCTATGTAAGTGCAAATTTGTTTTTTGTAGTTGGATATTCAGTAAGGGTTTTTGATTTGATTATATTGTATAATACTGTGTACTTCTTTGTTTTGTGGAAACTAGTTTTGAAGAGATATATTTTGCAACATTCATTTTTTACACTTATAATTCATACTCCGTATGTTTTAACCGAAACAGAGAACATTTGACATCTTCCCCCCACTAATTTCTAACACTTTCATGATTGAAGGTATCCTAATCTCAAGAGCGTGAGGGATCTGATTTTCAAGAAAGGGATTGGAAAAGTTGGTAAACAAAGAGTGCCTTTGACAGACAATAACATCATT